TCAAGTTCAGTGTCAATGTCCAGGGAGGTTTTGATCCTCTGCCCAAAGCTCACACTGCCTGTGTCCTGTTGGAGACCAGGTGCTTGAAGTTCTGTTCCCATTTTTGCAAGGAACTAAACTCTCACAGCACAGGAAAGAAGCCCCTTGCTCAGAAGGTACTTCAAGCAAACTTGTCATTTTAAAATGCATCTGGCTCTTTTGTCCCATTGTGTTAAAAACACAAGGGACAGAGTGACATAGGGGACCAATGTGCTCGGGGAGGATGGGACCCCAGAGATGCAGGGGCGTTCGCAGCCTGCAGTATTTCTTGGCCACCCTCAGCTCACTTTAGGGGGCAGCTTCTGAGCTAGTAAAATGCGACAAAGGACAGAGCACAGTGAATAAATAAAGAAGACAGGAATGGAAGAAGGACGCACGGCCAAGATGGTTGCAGATAAAGCTGGGTGTGAGGAGGAGAAGGAATTCATAACCCAGAGAATACACTTAGCAGGGCCTTTCTCCTATCGCCAGGGTGGCTGTTAAAATTATCTGGGTTGAAGTAAAAGGCTGCTCTGTCCCGGTCATTACTCGTGCTTCTGTTAAAGGCACCAAGTCCAGCACCCGAGACGGGAACTGAACTATTCATTTACGGGAGCCTCGCTTACAACCGCTGCTTCTGAGCCCAGATCCTTGGCTCTGGGGGACTCTGCGTGACCTTCACTGAGTGCTGGGATAAAATCTCAGCAAGGCCGAGGGCCTCTGTGAGCCGGGGTAAAGGACACTGGGCCCCATGTCCTGGGCTGCACGAGGAGGGTGGAGAGGGTGTGAAGAGGAGGAAGAGCCCGGGAGGGACGGGGAGAGGCTCCAGTCCCCGCCTGTCATCCAGGTCCCTTCTTGGGGCCAGCGACCCTGGCCATGGGGCAAAGGGAGCCCACCTGTGCTTCACTCAGGGACCCCGAAGCACGGAGGGACGGAAGCACCGCACAGCGCTCACACTGTCTCTGTCCCGACCTCCTCATTCCTTCTGCACGCCCACACCTTCCTGTCCCTCCACGGCCACTGGTGAAGTCGGGCCCCACGTGCTCTCTAGCTGCTCCAGTGCCCTCGTTTTCCTCCTGGCCTGCATGCTGGGAAAAGCCATCTCCCTCCTGCCCCAGGTCTGGGGCCCTGGAGTGGTCACTTGTCCTTTGAGGCCCCTGCCTGCAGAGCCTGGGCCTCCGGAGGAGCCCCTACCATGCAGACACAGTCTGGGTTGGACCTGGGCCCCCTCGAGGACTCTGGGAGAGCAGAGGCCTCACTCTGGCCAGGCATGGGAGCCGAGCTGTCGTGGTCACTGTGGGCCCAGCAGGTAGGAGGCCCAGCTGGCCCTTACCAGCCTGCCGAGGTGAGTGGGTGTCCGCTCCCCAGGCTGCACAGAGCCAGGCCTGGGTCCCTGAGTCACCACGTGGACCTGGCCCCCCACCCAGGAGCACCTTCACGGAACTTCACTGGCCCAGGGGAGAAGAGGGGATAAAAGGAATAAAGACGCTATGAGTCTGTGTACCAGTTTCCCACAGACAAAGCAATCAGCACATGCTGCAAAACTGCACTCACAAAAATAAAAACCACAAAGCTGGTGTCCACGGGGTCAAGGCACTCACAGCCGGGATGTGATCTAAGATCTACGAGCCCACAGCCAGCAGACACCGAGGCTCACCTGTCTCTCTGTTCCCCAGATCCAGCTGCTGGCCAGCCAGGACCTCTGTCCAGTCCTGAACTATGGGCTCCGGGCCCAACCTGAACCCTGAGGCTCTTGGTGAGGGATGAATCTGCCTGCAGGCCCCCAGAGCGGCTGCCTAATCCACTTTCTGCTCCTGTAGCAAAGCACCCCAGGCCAGGTGACTGTGAAGGAAAGCAGTGGCCCGCAGCCCTGAAGGAGCTTGCTTTTCTAACTCCCGACTCACACAGCCACAGCCCGATCTGTGCAGACCAACACCTCTCCAAGGAGCAGGGCTTGGCCTCCCATCTGCCACAGGCTGACAGGCGAGTAAAATTAGGATCATAAAAATAAAATCAATAATAATTAATGAAGTCCTAGAATAGCTCAAAGGAGAAGGATACGCAAAACACAAGCCGAAGTGCTGTATCATGAGCTTGACACATGCACGATTCCACTATCCAATGGCTGTAAACGATCTGCTCTCTCTTCACTTCTCCCCTCACTGCAGAAAAGAAGCAGCAATCAGAGCCACCCAGCTCAGTGTATTCAAGGCCTCCTAGCCACACAGCGGTTCCCTGTGACTGATTAGAAGGCACCCTTTCTTCAAAACTTTCCTCTATCGTAAGTCACCCTGCCAGCCTGATCTTTGTCCGAACAAGTCAGTTTACTGCCATCTGCTGGAAACGTAAAATACACAAATCTGCAGCACCTGTAATGCCAGGGCCGCCGTTGTGCAACGCACAACCTGAACAACTGTACAGAGCAGCTCTGAGCACTGATGGTAAAGCCACACAGTACAGACCAGTGAGGTCCAAATGGGTGGGAGGTGGGGGGCTCAGGGTGGACCTGATGGTGCTGGTGTGAAGTCTTCTTTTTTTTTTTTTCTTTTTTTTTGGTACCGGGAATTGAACTTGGGTCCTTGCACATGAATTCTTATTTTACCTGCTGAAGAAGAAAAAGAATTGAACAGCAAGGAATAAGCAGGGCTTCCTCCGCAGGGGGACAAACCCCTCCTCTGACAAAGGCTTCCCTCTGGGAGACTGTGGGAGGGTGGTGTGCCGGCCTGCGTTGCACCCCAGCTGCCCCCATGGCCTGCACAAGTCCCAAAAGGTCCCGCAAGCAAGCGCTTCAGCGTCCACGGTGGAAAGCAGAGGTGCTCGGGGCCTGTCCTGCTCATGGGCGCCCCCTGCGGGCAGGTCCTGGCCACAGCGAGTCCAGGCCCCGGTCCTACAGTCACCAAGATTCCCCGAGACCCAGGCCTCCACCAGGCCATGGGCACCCGGCGTAGTGATGTCCTCTCTCCTGGCACCCACGGGCCACGCGGCTGCCCCCTCTCCTCCGAAGACGTCATGCCGCTGCCATGCGCTGTGGTTGTCCTCCTTCCTGCTCTCCTCCTGTGTTGCTCTCCTGACCTGGGTTGCTGTTTTGTGTTGTTGTTTTTGTGATGCTGGAGCTCAAACCCAGGACCCAACACATGCTAGGCAAGCACTCTGCCGCTGGGCTCCTTTTTCCTTTACATCAGCTTTATTTGTTTCTATCTGTTTTGGGTGCATAGTAGAATCGGGCAGACAGTACAGAATTCCACCGTGACACCCACCCGTACACACAGCCTTCCCCACTCAACACCCCGTGTTAATGTTTTCTAAATCTTCTCTTTCATTTTTGCAAAGGACAAGAACTCAATCCCGAGTTGAGTTCTTCCTAAATGGATGAGAACTGAGGGCAACAGCAGAGCCTCTGGTGGCTGGAACCCCTCTCAGGCGGCTGTCTCCGCTGACAGTTGGGTCCTCAGGCAGCTGAGCATTGGGCAAGGAAAACCTCAGCCTCATCTCTGAATGATGCAGGCAGCTGCCTGCAAAGCAACCGGCCCACGTTTTTACAGAAACCCTTCTGAGTCAGTGCGTTTGCATGAGTCAGCCCTCCGTCCTGAGGTCCTAAGGATGAGAGGGGCCTCCTTGCTCCTCACCCACCCCAGGGCTCTCCTGATCAACCCTGAAGTAGCAGACCTCTTAGACGTGAGGCCATCGGTGTCACAGTGCTCTCGGGAAGACACAGCTGGAAGGCGTGCTACTCTGCCTGTGCCCTCCGAACCCTACATTCCCCCTGGGCAGAGGAGAGTCTGCAGTGCAGAAGACGTGGCTCTGTGGTCACTGTCAGCCACTTTCCTCCGGCCGGGACAACACCTGTGATACACGGACACTTCAATTAGGAGATATTTATTTGGCTCATGGTTACGGCCCATGACCCGCTGGCTCCCAAGTAGAGATGAGACGGCGGAGAGGCTCAGTGGAGGAAAAGATGCCCAGACCACAGCCGCCAAAAAGCAGGGAGAAGGGAGGAGCTGGGGACAAGAATGTGCCGGCCAGGCCTTGCTGAGTGGCCTCCTCTAGCTGGCCCCACCTCCTCATGGTGCCTGCCGCTACTGAACTCAATGGGTGAATCCACTGTTGAGTGTGGCATCCTGAGATCCAACCACCTTCCAAACCCATGGGAAGAGGCAACATTCTAGACCTAAAGTATCACAGGTGAGTGACCCCCTTCGAGGGGCTCCCTGGCACCTGAGGTCCCCAGACAGCACGGAAGCTGACGGAGTGCCCAGAGGGATGGCGTGACAGGCTGGGAGCCACAGGGCAGGGCCATCTGTCCTGTCAAGGGGAAGCAGGACCCCAGAGCCATGGTGTTAGGAGCATGGTGCTGTCCTGGAAGGGCCCTTGCAGGAAACGTAATGAAGAGATGGTGCCCAGACCCAAACCGCTAGAGATGGTGGCCACAGGGGAGGCAGAACCCCCACATACCCTGATCAGAGAGTAAACACACACGTATCTCTTGTCCGCCCATTATTCTGAGTCTCTGCTGATAAATCCCCACGCCTCCCAGGGGCCTATGCACGTTCTGTAACAGACCTCTTAGCAGGGACAGGGGTCGGAGAAAAGGTGCACCACAGCCTTGGGGAGACCCTGGTGGGCAATCACAGCGCTGCTGCCCACCAGGCAGAGGGAGAAGAAGGAACAGATGCAGACATGAACTCTGTGAGAAGCCAAGAAGGGCATCAGAGGAGAAAGGGAGAAAAGAGACATGAGACCATTAAAAAAAATAAAGACTTGATGAGATTCACATTTCAGAATAGCCACAGCAGGCCCTCTGTCTTCTGTGTTGGATGAGAGAAGAAATTCAGCTCTCTGCCATGACGGAAACTAGATACATGGAGATTTAAGAAGTATACCCATGGCCAGGACATTTTCTTTCCCAGTAATATTCCGCAAACATAACCCACGTAACCAATAGAGACATTAATATAGGTTTAAGCAACTGTATCTCCTGGGCAGATCCTTAAATTCCTTTAATTTTACATTAGGATATAAAATCGCTCATTCTAATGGGTTGGTAAATGCATAGACCTTCGGAAGTCCCATTGATGAAAACACAGCGCAGGCGGCGGGAAATATACTATTATTTCTGCCCTGGCTGTATTTCCATTCCCTAATAACAATAATGAACTTGAAGCACCCCATTTGCATACAGATGGGTCTCGTCTCTTGCTTTACGGCAGCTATGCAGTTAAGCCTGTCACCGATGTGCACTTCCCAGCCTCCAAACACAATTTAAAGACCGCTTCACGGAGAGGCGAATTACAGCCATGTGTTTAAGCATTAGGGCTGTGGCTTTTCTAAAGACTGCTGGCACCATCGCCAAGTTCCACCGCGTGTTAGAGTCCGTCACAAGTTCCGAGCTGCTACAGCTCATGGACTGTGGCTGTCCTTCAAATGTCGCACCGTCCCCACCGGTGTCATCCCAGCTCCTGGGGCGGGTTACTGCCGCCCACTCCACTTCCCGGCCGTGACGCGGCTCCTTCCTTCCTTCCCTCCCCCTCCTCACTCCTGCGCCATGCGTCATGCCCGGCACCTGCACCAGCAGAGTCCCGAGCTGCTTTGCCGCCAGCGGAAGCTCAGTCAGCCTCAGCCAACTGGTGGGCAGGAGGAGACCGTGCGAACCAGCCTTGAGGGGCCCTGAGGGAGCACCGCGGGAGGCCCGCCCGCACAGGGGCTTCGAGAACGTGTGTTCACCGAGGAAACAGCGGGTCGGGGGTTGGGAAGGCACCAAAGCAGAGGCACAGATCTGCTGACCCACAGCCTTCTCCGGAAGGGCCAGGTGAGAGGCGACAGCGGGCGGGCGGAACGGCGAGCGGCCCAGGTGAGAAGCATCCTTTGTGCTCACGGTTCACCCTGCAGGAAACAGGGCCCTGGGCTCGGAGGCCCCAGGCCTGGCCATCGGCTGTTGCTGCGGTGGTCGTTTTCGCTGTCAGAGGTTGGGATGGTCCGGTGTGGGTTCCGTGGGCCCACCGTGGGGGACGATGGTGACAGGGGTAACAGAGGCAGAAAACAGACCCCAGAGACTGGCCGGAAGAGGGAGGACAGAGCAAACGCTGGCTCTGAGGACCCGGAAGAAGGGGCTCACCAGGGGCTAAGATTCAGAGATATAAAAGACAACAACAATGTAGGGGATGATTCAGATGTGGACACGAGTCCCTGACATCACGGGAGAGGGATCCACGGCCGCACAGAGGCAGCGGTGGGCACCAGGGCAGAGCTGGCCTGGGTCCGAGGGAAGGAGCTGTGATGACACGCGGAGCGGGGTCCTGCCAAGCCAAGGCCCCACGGGGAGATGGAGTCAGGACCGTGAGGCTGACCGGGAGCCCTGTCAAACGCAGTGGTGTGCTGCTGCGGAGGGCTGGGCGCGGGAAGGGCCTGCATCTGGGGAGGTCAGGACGAGCGGCAGGTGGAGGAGAGAGAAGAGCTGGGGCCTGCGTCAAGCCAGAGGGAGGATCCGAGGCTCCCTGGATCGGGTTGGTAAAGATGAGAGTGGCTGAAAAGACGCCGGCAAGATGGGCGCCCAAGGGTGGTGGAGCTCGGTGTGGGAGGAAGGGCCAGCTGCAGGGGCTCCCACCGCCCTCCAGGGGTTCGGTGTTCTCCCCACCCAACACCCTCCAGGCTCCTCCTCCCTCCGGAGCCGCAGCGCCCCCACCGCGTGATGGGGCCACCTCCGCCTGCCCGACTGCATCCCCTACCCTCAGGGTTGGCAGCACAGCCCAGCGAGCGGTGGGTGTGTCTGTCTCCTTCCCTAGGAGTCCCCTGTCTGCGCCTGCAAACTCTTGAAAATGCTCTGCGAGGACCGAGCCGTTCTCTGCACCCGACATGAGCCACGGTCTGCATGCCTACCTGCGCGTCTAATCTTTATCGAGGGCCCAGTCCTCAGCCCCACAGAGGCGCTGGCATCGTCATCTCCACTGCACAGATGAGGAGACAGAGCCTTGAGGAATACAGAAACTTGTCCAAGCCTGTGCAACTACCCAGCCAAAGCCACGCACAGCCACCTGCCCAAGGGCCACACATGACCTGCATTTCTCTCTGTTTAATCAATCTGTGAATCATTTACCGCTGTGCTATGAAAAAATGTGGATTAGAATAATCCAAAAAAGGGCTGGGGATTTAGATCAGTGGTTCCACCATCTGCCTCGCAAGCTCAAGGTCCCGAGTTCAACCCCCAGTACCAAAACAAAAACAAAAACAAAAACAAAAAAAAGGAATGAAAATAATAAGGTATCTTTTTTTGGATTTTTTTTTTTTTGTACTAGATATCAAACTCAGGACCTTACACTTGCAAGGCAAGCTCATTTACACTGAGCTAAATCCCCAACAATACCTCATTATTTTAAGGAACAAGTATTTTGAGGCAAGATCTTCAAGACTTTTGTCTGAAAAGTCTCATGCAGCTGAGCATGGTGGCATACACCTATAATTCCAGCATCTGGGAGGCTGAGGCAGGAGAATCTACATGAGTTCAAGGCCAAGCTAAATTACATAGCAAGATGTGTCTCAAAAGGAAAAAAATCATTTAATATATTTTACATTATGGGCATCCGAAATGAACAGACATTTCTCAGACACAGAAGTAAAAGCAGCAAGTAAATATATGAAAAAATGCTCCACATCACTGGTCATTCAAGAGCTGCAGATGAAAACAACACTGAGATTACACCTCACCCCCACAAAGAATGGCTGCTATCAAGAGAGCACACAATAACAAATGTTGGCGGGGTTGTGGGGAGAAAGGAACCCTTCTCCATTGTTGGTGGGAGTGCAGACTGGTGCAACCACTGTGGAAATCAATATGGAGATACCTCAAAGAGCTGGGACTAGAGGTTCCATTTGACCCAGCCATCCCTCTGCTGGGTATCTTTCCAAAAGAATTAAAATAATCATATCACAGTGATATATGTGCAACAATGTTTACAGCGGCACAGTTTGTAATAGCTAAAACTTGGAAACAGCCCATCTGCCCATCAGTTGGAAACTGGATAAAGAAGATGTGGTTTTTCTATAAAATGGAATACTATTCAGCCATAAAGAATGAGAAAATAGATTCATTCATAGGAAAATGGATACATATTGAAGATATACTCCTAAGTGAAATAAATAAGTCACACATATATAAATACCAAATAGTTTCTCTGGTGTGAATAAACTGTAATAATACATAAGAACCTAATAAGATTACTGACATTGAAAAATGAGAAGAAAGGAGCTAAAGGTGCAGGGAAGGTGGGATGGGTAGGGGAAGGGTAATAAGGGAAAAGAAAAAAATGTGAGATAATGAAAAGATGGAAATAAAGTGTTTGTAGATGGGGAGGGGAGGAGGGGGTGAAGGGAGGACAGGGACAAGGGGGAAAAATGAGAACCAAGGCCTGTCATGTAAAGGTACAAGATCCCAATAATGAATGTAACTGTACTGTATACCTACAATGTACCAATCAACTCAATTAAAGCTGAAAATATATTTTTTTTACATTCCAGCTTTCCCCTGAGTTATTGTGCCCCCTTGCAGCAAATATTATTAAAAGGTTATTATTATATGTAATTAAGTTGTGAATGATTTAAAAAGTCAATTGAAGAGTTTTCTATGTGTAAAGCAATAGATTTCCTTAAAACATGAAAATGCTGTTAGTTAAACTTGCAAAAATTAGACTAGGAAACAGGTTTGGGGTTTTATTAAGATAATTTATTTTCTTCTGCTGTTAGACTTGCTTATTTTCAAAACATTAGTTTTAAGAGTTAAGGTCTATTTCAATGTTGACTTGTTCTAAAATGTTAGACTTGCTTATTTTCAAAACACTAGTTTTAAGAGTTAAGGTCTATTTCAATGTTGACTTGTTCTAAAATGTTTTCAATAATCAGTTTATAACTGGTTGAATGAACAACCGTTGCCTTAGGTTATGCGTCTGGGACTAGAGATGTGTGTCTATCCAAGGACAAAATAAGCCCCAGGTCTGAGCTGTGTCTAATGTTTAAAAGTTTACAGAGTTAAAATTACAAAGAGTTTAATGCATGCAGTCACCAAGAAGTGTTTGTGTGTGTGTGTGTGTGTGTGTGTGTGTGCAACATGCAGCGCATCTAAATCATAAGCATTTAACAATGATCACTGCTGTCCATGTTTGGTACAATTCAGTCCTGCCATTTAAAATTTAATCTACATCTGTTGTCTAGGACAAAATAAGCACTTTGTTATTGTATAAGTGAGATACACTTGTACATTAGGTAATCAGTCCTTTGTGGTCATTAACACTATTTCTTAAACTTGTGGGAGAGCTAAAGGTGTCCTTTGACTCCTGTCCGAGCTGTTACATTATTAAGCTTGTTAAGGAATCTTAATTCCACCTTAATAGTACAAACTAAGCTAATATGTGTAAAAGATTCTTATGGAGCTGTGATGCTAGTTATTGCTAACTTCCCGTGTTCCCCAAGTATACAAACCTGCAAAAGTGCAAAACCTAGGAGAACACCTTACCATATTGATGTCCTTAAATAATATGGTTTATAAGATAGACTTTTTCAGGCTTAGGTGTATGTGCTCCTGATTGTACCATGATAGACGCCTAAACACCATGAAGCCCAGGCCATATGACTCTAATGATTTAAAATGGGCCATTAGTCATCTATAAATAAGTGCATGCTACGTAGATACTTTGTGTTTTAAAAATACCAAATTTCAGTGACAATTAATTTGTGTAATTAAATATTTTATAATTGGGTACAAGTAACCTATTAGGTTATTTTATACTAAAATGAAAGTTTCAATGTAATTTTAGCAAGAATAGAACTTAATGGTCTTGGCATAATGTCATCACACTTGCCATCCAAAAAATACTGTGTTTGTTCTGGTTGTTTTTATTTTGCTTTTTTTCTTGCAAAACTTTATAACTGTTCTCGTGGATACTCTGCAGGAATAGGACTTCTCAAAGTCAACCTAAGCAATATGTTAAGGTGATAAGCCAACAATTACAAGATACTGACTCCTGATTCTGTTTTTTTGTTTTGTTTTGCTTTGTTTTTTTGGTGTTGTTTTTTGGTTTTTGTTTGTTTGTGTTTTGGTACCAGGGATCAAGCTCAGGCCTTTGGGCTTGCAAGGCAGGCAGTGGAACCACAGAGCTAAATTCCCATCCCCTGACTCCTGATTCTAATGGAAGGCTATGATCAGCAGAAGTGGTAGCTGTTATCTAGTCATCCTTTATATTTCAAAGTACCCCAAATCCAAAGAGGATCATAACTGAGGGCTAAGACCAATTGCTACCACCTTCAGACCAGTGTAACTGACTTGCAGTGTTCAGCACCTGGCTCTTGAAAGCTAAAGCTAGGAGTGAAAGGGCTAAGAGGACAACCAATATTTTGGCCCTTGCCCCCAAGGTAATCCACAGCTCAGGGCCTGAGGAGACTCCTCCGAAAGGGACCCACAGCTCCCGTGAGTCTCCCACCCTCCCCAGAAAGTATGGTCAGACCCCAAGAGGGCGGGAGTCACTCAGTGTGCATTCTGCATGAAGGAGAGTCACTGGCCCTCAGGGAAATCCTCCATGCTGCCCAGAGAAGACATACAGTCAAGCAAGACCATGGCTCATTGGCAATGACAAATCTTTCCATCTGGTGAAGAAAAAAAATCAAGGGAATTAAGAGGACCCTTACATGGCCCCAAGAGTTAACCCTGAAGAGCCTCACCAGCTCTTGATGAGTGTAAGTGTATGTGTGTGTGCGTGTATGTGTATAAACAGATGTATTTTGGTTAATGTGGGTCTTACTTTGACTTGATTTAAACACACAGCAGCACAAGTATAACCACAAAAGTGGAATGATTTATAGTCATATAAAAATAGAGAAAGCTGGGCTAGATAAGGAGGGGGTTCTAAACGCGGCACCAGCCTCTCCTGGCTGTCTTCAGCTGCACCACAACATTTCAGACTACAGCCACGAGGGGCTGTGACTCCTAGTACTTCCAAAAACACATTTTTCAGACACTATTAGCATTATTGCCATTATGTTATTGTAATGTACTGTCATGTGACCTCAGGTAAAGATTTGGCTTCTTCTATGAGTACCTATGACAGACAAATGGAAATATTAATATTCTACACAGTAAGCTTTGCTACTTTTGTGGTATGAACTAACTTTCTGTTCTCTGCTTCAGGTATGTTTACATTGCCTAGACATGGTCACTACAAAAGGTCTTCAGGTCTATGAAAAAAAGCCCTGTCCAAGTTTAGAACCCCAGAGTTAATGCCCCAGTGATCACAAAAGCATAGATATCTTTATTTGGTTATTCTGTGACCATGGTTATGATTAAAATAAGAGGACCCTGGGCCTCTTATTGACAATAAGGAGGAGTCTGCATGCTTCACCTGTAGTACTTGAGTTAAAATCTGGACAAGAGGAAGCAAATAATGAGATAAAAGGCTTATGCCAAGTTCTGCCTAATTTTGTCCGACTTCTACAACTTTTGGACACACTATTCATCAATACTCTACTTTTAATTTTTAGCCCCTGCTTATTTAGCATGGTTATAAAATGAAGCTTAAGTGTAATAACTCGCTAATGTTCTTTCCTCTTTCCCAGGCTACTGACAGATGACTGTTCATCAAATGACAAAGCCATCTTCCTGTGCCTCCTCTAGCTCAGTCACAGGAGGGTTCCGACCCAGGACTAGGCAGGGTCAGCACCCCAACCCCGGCCTGAGGCAGCCAGAACAAGACAGACCTTCAGCCCCTCTCCATCTGGTAAGAATAAGCAATCAAAGTGTCAGAGAGGAGAGAGAATGAGGGAGGAGAAAAATGAGGACTGCAGGAAGGAGAAAGGGGAAGTCATCCTGTCTGAATTGTCCTTTAAAGAAGGCTGTGACTTCAGGACACAAGGTTGCCATGGTTATCTACAGCTACGTTCCCTATGTTGGTTTATGCTTCTTTTCTTCCATCACACCCAAAATCCCTTCAAGATACCAAAAGTCCATAAATTAGCTTAGTTGATAAAGAAAAAGGCAGAAACCAGATCTTAAAGAGTTCAAAGAATGTGTTTAGGCCAAACTTTTTATTTTTTGGTACCAGGACTCGAACTTAAGGCCTTGCACTTACCAGGCAAGTTCTGTGCCACTGAGCTACATCCAGCCCCTGGATCACCCATCTTAAAAAATAAAAATAATAGGCTGGACCTTGCCCTTCTCCTTTAAAATACCATTCTTATTTCTTTCTTTGGGTGGACCATTCTTATTTCCTATAAACTAAGACCAAGCCAGAGGTATAGAGTCACAAATTCCACAAATTTCCACTGACAAAAACATAAATGTCCCCAGCTCCAAACAGCAATGCACCTCTCTCAAGGGCCCACACTGTTTCCGCAAATGTAACTTAAAATGCTGCCCAATAAATCCCGTTATGCCTCTTTCAAAAATGTACTTTACACACATCTCCTTGATTGCATTCTTTTCAAACCCTGTGCCATTCAGATGGCTCCCCAGCACACCCCCAAACGAGTGAGCTGATGAGCCCAAACTGCACAGTGGTCTTCAGCTTTCATGCAACACAGTGTAGGAGCTAAGTGTCCTGGTGGCAGAGTTTGTCTCCTTGGTATAAAAGCTATCTCTCAGCAACCTTGGGCAAGCTCTGTAACCTCTCTGGCCCACATTTCCTCATCTGTCCAATGATCATCGCCCCCTCACTGGATACACATCAGACGACCTGGGCCCAAGACTGGCGCAGATTGAACACTCCATCACTACCAGCTGCTATGATACTACTCTATGTCCAAAGACACTGTTGGGATATTTTATTTGAATTTTAAAATGGGATATAAGATTGTCTTTGCACAGTTCTATTCAAGAAACTCTTGGGGGGATTGTAAATTATATAGTAAAATAGAGCCGTGTGCTGGCTTGGGATGACCAGCCCAGCTTCCTGCCTGCTCTTGAAGAAGTGGCCGTTGGGCCTCTGGGCCACTGCCTGTAGCCCTGACGCATGGCTAAAAGACAGGCAAGCTCAGAACTAAATTCAGACAATCTCACCATTCTCCAAACAGTGCACCAGCTTCATGAAATACTTTAAAATCAATAAAAATGTATTTGGCAGCAGGAGGTGATTATTCATACATTATCTGAAAACAATAAAGCAAACTATACCTTCCACTGCATCCTCAGAATCATAAATACTCCAGGTGAGCATCCATTTTTGGCTGACTTACCCCTTTTCTCTCTTTTTGCTCCAGTTGTTAGTTTCAGAGGGTCAGAGAGAGTTCAGTTGTAGAGAGAAAGTACTAACTGCTGAATGGCTCTGTCAGGCTCCTGTATTTAAGGAGACAGAATTGCATATTACAAAAAAATGATTGTTCAGCTACCTTTTCATTAACAGTTTGTCTAAAAGGAGACAGACTTAACTGCTTCTATTGAAGCTGGGAAGCAACAAATTGAATGTGTTCCATAAGGGTTATGTCATACTTCAGATATATGGTGAGCTACAAACACCAAGATTACGCATTTAGAAATAGTAGTGGGTTCACTATTGTTTGGTCGAGGTTTAATTGAACAGCCATAAATACTACTGAAAAAGGAACGTGTTCTATCTCTGCACAATCTCAAGTGAAATACTGGAGTAATTTTCTTTTATATATATATATGTTTGGTCCCTGACACATTAAAGAAATATCCCTTTGGGGGACCTGTCCTAAAGGTTAGTAAGGAAACGTCAGCTATGAAATGCATCCCAGGTTGGCTTCTTGCAATGACTTTCCATGTTGGAGCAGAGAAGACATCGAAGGTTGGCAGAGACCCTGGAGGAGGCCGGGTGAATGCAGAAGGCTCTTCACTACCTGCGCCAAGACCGAGGTCCTGGGCAAACAGGGCAGCTCAGCCTGGTTCTCCATCTACCCACACAGCAGGCTCAGTCCCTCCACATCCCAACCCCATATGCTCTAAGTTGAACACTTTGCCTTTTTTAATGCACTGAATGACAGCACTGACTTTAGATTCTTCCAGAAGGCCCTGTGTCAGAGCTGGATTGTCACAGCTTCTGTGGTCAACAAGTCCACAACAGGGAAAGGCCCTGGAGCCCCAGCCATGGGTCAAGGGTCTAGGTTTATTTCACTGTGTCCTGAGAAGCCCACCCCTGCTCTGTCATGACAAATAACTCATTAGCGTTCACTGGGTATAAAGGTCATGTGTTCAATGCCAAACTTGTGTGTCTGATTTACTTCACCTAGTGCTATGACCTCAAGGTGCATCCATTTGTTGGGCTGGGGATATAACTCAGTGGTACCACTGCCTTCCTGGCAAGGTCCTGAGTGCAATCTCCGGTAAAAAAAAAAAAAAAAAGAAAAGAAAAGAAAAGAAAGAAAGAAAGAAAAAGGTGCATCCATTTGTTGAGCCTTCTTCATAGAAGAATAGTACTCTGCTGTGTGTAAAAATTGTATTTTTGTGATCCATTCATCTGCTGATGGACATATAGGTCTCTTTTACACTTGATCTTAGCCAAAAGACCGAGAAGCAATCATATAGGCCTCTTTTAAGATTTAGCTGTTTTTCCTTTTTTCCCTTTGAGAAGCAAGCCCTGTCATGTAAAGGTACAAGATCCCAATAATGAATGTAACTGTACTGTCTACCTAATATGTACCAATAAGCTCAATGAAAAAAAAAAGATTTAGCTGTTATCAATTGCACTGCTATAAACATGGGTATGCCTGGATCACTGTAATATGACATCTATAACTCTTTTGGGAAGATATCTAGAAGGGGAATAGCTGGGTCAAACAAAATTTCTAGTTTTAGTTTTTGAGGAATCTCCCTACTGATTCCCATAGCAGTTGCACTAGTTTATATCAGTACCAACAATGGAGCAGGGTTCCTTTTGCCCACAGCTTCACTGTGACTATGGTTAAAGCTGTAATAAAAGACATCAAGCAGCTGTTCTTGGCACTTTTAAACTCAGTGCCCCATTCTATAACAAATGTTTTGTAACTATTCCCTTATTAAGCCTTGAACTATAATTCATGTAAACTAAAACAATACCTATTTGAGTGCCTACTATCAAACATACAGAAAATAACAAGTGTTGGCTGTCTATGGCCAAATCAACCTGAATGTGCCTAATCTGACCAGAAAAGAATGTGGACAAATTAGAACCACTGCCTGTTACTTTCAGGAATGTCAAATGAGCCATTGCCATGGAAAAAAGAAGACATTTCCATCAGATATTTAAAATACAACTACCACCTGATCCAGTGATCTCACTTCCAGGTCCAGGTGCAAAGGAAGTCAAAGTGGGATCGCAAAGACTATTTGCCCACTGGAGTTAACAGCAGCACTACTCACCATGACCAGCAGGTGGGAGCAGCCCAAATGCCCATGGATGAATGAAAAGATCAATAAAATGTGATGTATATGTAGAATGAAATATTATTCAGCCTTAAAAAGAAGATGAATCCTGCCATATACTACAACACGGGTGAACCTTCAGAATATGCTCAGTGAAATAAGCCACTCCAACAAGACGAATACTGTATGAGCCAAGCAGTCAGATTCATAGTCAGAGAACAGAATGATGGTGGCCAGGACTTAGGGTTGAGAGGTTGTGGGGAGTAGTTTAACAGGTACAGAGTTTCAAATTTGCAAGATGAAACAGTTCTGGAGATCCATTTAACAGCAATATATATAATATATACTTAATACTACTATATTGTAATGATTAAGATGGTAAACAAAAAAAAATCAAACACAAACATAGTTTTTAATGCACACAATGCCTTCACTGCGGTAAAAGGGAGGGAAAGAGCACTTGCAGGGTGAGGTACATCTACTTCAACACGGACTTGCCCAGACAACCCAACCCTGGAGCACATGATGCAGCAGCCGATGTGTCCTGCTGTCCTCAGAACCTTCCAGAACATGAAAGCCACAGCGACAGACAGGGGGGTGAGGGGGTGCATTCCACCTCCCCCACCGCAGGATGGGTAGTGTTCCCAAGCCTGCTTCACTGAAAGCCTGTACTCACTGTCACAGCCAGAACTGCCCCCTCTAATTTCCACAACATAGCATCCCAAGTGGGTCCTCTTCTAGAGGCATCAGGAAGAGTTGCTTAATCTAAGGGGACACCAGAGGGCGGGGCTGTGGAGGTTCTGCCCGTCAGTCACGCTCAGCCCTCCCCCGCCGCTGCTCATGGCAGATCCCCACCAGGCCGAGGGGCTGCCCAGAACACAGGCCACCGTCCCTCTCCACAAAACTATCCAACAATGAAATTTAGAGTTGAGTTCTGAGTTCTTCAACACTCCACTTATCTCATCCCCTGTTAGAGAATTGCAGTTTGTAAAGTGTTGTCCTTCTTGAGTTCTGTTTCACTTAGAACTCTTGAAAAGAAAGCTTTCAGGCTCACAGGAGTAAAGCAGTAATGGTGAAAACTGATTTGCTGTTAAACCTTTGCGAGGGCTGTCTGCGCTTCCTAAGGACACCCGAATAATTCCACAGCTGCAGCCACCCCTCTGCCAACCCTCAGCACTGATCCTCGATAGAAGGCTCGTGTCCAGGTATTTTTGTTCTGTGCGTGGCATCTCCCTTGCTACTCTGTTGAATTGTGCAGCTGCACAAAACTGCAACAGCTGCAGTGGCATCTGCAGCCTCTCTAGTTTCCTCCTGGCCACAGCAGCCACAATGTTCAGAGGAAATGGAGACAGGGAATTAGGTCATAGAGCAAACGATCCTCCGATGCCAAGCAGTCACCAATTAGAAAACCATTAGCCATGTTCTCTGTGGGAACAGAGAGGGCCACTGGGTCCTCTTGCAAGGCTTAGACTCTATGATAAGAATGCTTTCCAGGTTCTTATGCCAGGCAGTTCTCCCTGGGTTCATGCACTCAGCGTACATTTATTGAACACCTACTGGGAAAAAACACTTATGACAAATAAAAGACCCAGTGCTTACATCCAAGGTCTCCAACTCAGGGTGCTGGCTGCTGTCACAGAAGTAAACAGCGCATCTTCAAGAACACTGGAAATTGGATGGGGGCAAGGAGTTGGCAGTTGACAATGAAAATGTCCCCCAAATAAAATGCTCAAGATTCTGAGATGGGGGGCAAAGGGGATTCTGTGCCTAAGTGACAAAGAACATTAAAAACTGTAAGCAAGCATTGTGTCTAGACAGAGCCAAGCCTAGGAACTGTTATTTGATATGCAATTTTCTACTTAGCAGAGCAGGTACACAGAATTCAATTTGGGAATGATCTGCATTCTGTTCAGTTTCCACAATAGCATCCAAATGGAGGCGGGGACAGGGGAATTTATCTTCCCACAAATTCACTCCCTAGGGGTGCGCTGGCTCACCAGCGGGGGCGTCAGTGCTAGCTAGGTGGGCGGCAGAACAGACAACAGCGAAATTACTGCCACAAATCGCCCCGCAGGAGCCCTGGTACTGGAGCTGCCGGCTTCTGCCTGCTCCTGTAATTGCACACCCAAATCCACTGCCAGAAAAGGATAACGAACCTACAAAGGAAAAAAACTGCCTCTCCGGCTGCCCAAGAACTGGCCTGGCTGTAATCTAGAGCAATAAATCTTCTTTTCTAATGCAATTCCTTGGGCTAAAACATTTTACAGTATCACCGCATTTTATCATTCCTAAAATTTGAGGTGCATTTTGCAGTCAAATTGCATATTTTAAGTGGCATTATTTCTCTCCCCACCAAAAACAAAACCAAAAAGACTGTTATTAAATGGATAATGTGTTTTACGATCAGACACATCTTGGAATCAAGGAAATTCCATAATTGCCGTGATTTAAAATGCATTTCCATAGAATGAAAAGCACAGGGAAGGTGGGAGGCTGAGTGTGGCTTCCCACATGCATCGTGTAATCAGACGTCTGTTGTTCACAGCTCATCAGCCACCTGGGGGCTCTGGTTCGCAGGCCCTTTGGAGGGTAGTCTTCCCATCAGGCCTAATCTCTGCGGAGCCCCCTGCAAAGCGAGCCTGGCGGTCTCTCTTTGGTCTTAGGAAACACTCACGCTAAAGCATGTAGAGTCAAAACCCTCAGCTCAAACACGGGTTCCAGTCCTTGACCTTAAGATGGCTGTGGTCCAACTACCCTTGATTTCAGCTTCTGATGCAAATAGTCAGGGCAGGGACTTGGATCTGCAAGGGCCAGCGACTGACCCAGGGGTACTTCCGGTACTACAGGAAGCTCAGCAGCAGCCATGTTTCTCAAGGGCCAAAAGATGGCAGTGTCTAGGGAACGAGTAGCAAAGACTGCTGGTCCTCGGGGGGACATATCCAGGAAACTTGTGTGACAGTGAGGGAATCATTGCTCCCTGTGTGCTGGGTTGCACTTAACCTTCTATCCTCCGGTTCACTCATTCCTTATGATTTTTAAATCTGAGATGTCTCATTTTGAACAACAAAGAGGCTCATTAGAAAAGAATCAGTAATGATAAACTATAGAATTTGCTTTTCACTGTGATCCCACAACAAGATAGAATTGTTTTCTAATCAATCTAGGATTTCCATGATAAGCAGCTAAATGTGTAGCATGGTTCGGAGAGGTTAAGAGGTGCTAAAAACATCATCACTTGGCAGAGAAATTGAAAAGGCCAGCAGTGTCTCCCCCAGGTCTTGGTGAGTCCACTTAAGGAACCGTTAAAACTGAGCAGGAACACGGCACTACCCTGGACACCATTCTCCATGGGAGCCCATCAGAGCCAGGCATTTGTCAAAATACCTGCAGAATCAAGCTTTCAGGAGAAGGGAGGGAGGCCACAGGTAGATGCTCTCAGGGAACGCAGCTTTACTGAAGAAAGAAAAAAAATACTAAAAAAATAGAAGGCTAATGGTTGGGTGTCTGAAAAATATATAGTGTTTCCTCTGTTTTTTTTGAAGTAAAAAATTGGGAGACCAAAAAAACCCTACATTAAGTCAAATGAACTTAATTTTTTAATGTTGTTAATGGCATAATATGCCAAGGAAATATAAAAATATAGATATCACCACAAGTAAGCACATCTATGCTGTAGTACAACCAAAGGCTGGAGCTCTGGAATTCAAGAGGCATTGGTTGGCCTGAAAGCCAGGTGGTTGCTGAAGACCCAGGATCCACAAGATGAAAGGATCCCAGGAACAGCCAC